AACAAGCCACAATAACATTGACAAATACATAGTTTAGGAAGAGCCTGCCTGAAACTATACAAAAAAGCAAATAAGCAAATGGATGTATAGAATTGACAACAACAACCACGCTGTCGAGTTTAAATAGCGGCAAATCAGCTGCACTTGATAGTAGTTGGTTGAATAAGGAAAATGAATTAGCAACAAGAGTTTACGGGATGTACATAGCTCAGTGGTTAACGCTTCTGATGCACTTGATAGTAGTTGGTTGAATAAGGAAAATTAATTAGCAACAAGATGATGATGATGAGGAGATGTGGTGATCTCCGAAATAGTGCTATAACTTCTACCGCTTAGACTTTGTTGCTTTTTCAAATTTTCCTAATAAACAATCGTGGTACAAAGCTCAATAAAAATATTAAAAATAAAATGTCAACAAGCCACAATAACATTGACAAAAGTATTTTAAAATACAAAATACAAATACTGATTGAAAAAGTATTTACAAAAAAATAAAAAATACTCTGTTAAAAAGTATATATATACAAAATACAAATACGTAGTTTGTATTTGTATTTTAAAAACTTACATTTGAAATGCTTAAGCTCTCTGATGTTAATAAATATATACTTTTAAAGCTTTTTAATTTTTTACTGAGGTGAATAAAGGAAAAAGCAGTTTGTTGTTGCGTTTTTGTTAATACTTTTGCCTTACTTTGATTTCATTAAAAAAAAAAAACTATGAACAATTTAGTTTTTTGAATCTTACTCTTACTCCTCTTACTGGTTTCTTGCATCGTTTAACAAAGTTCTTCTGAACTCCACTTTTTCCAGGAACTCAATGCCCGTGTTAAGTTCCCCCAACCAACATTTTTATTGAATGGGTATTCAACAGGAAGTATTAAGTGACACTATTATTTTTTGAAAACTACTTACTCAGTTGATTCACTTTGTACTTTTGTATGTACACTTTTGGCAATAACCTCGACACTGGGTGGGTTATATTTAACAATGCGATGTTCAGTTTTGTTTTTAATATTCAACAAAAAGCTATACTTTTCCTTCAAATTGTTTGGTATATTACAAGGTTTTCGTTCTGGATCTTTTATAAGATTTGAGCATTTTGTCCACTCTGTTAGTTGTCCATTACATAAATAGCCGGACTTGCTAAACAAAATCTGCCGTCCATTACACTGAGAGCAAGGCAATAAAGCTCCAAAAGCCAACATATCTGATAGTTGATTCAAAAGTTTCTCAGAATCGCCTGTTACTGGATCTTGGTTATTGTATTCCAACAAATAAATAATGTCCTTTTTCTGCATTTCATCTGTTACTAAATCACGCAGTTTGAACAAAAGTTTTGACTGTTTTTCTATTAGTTTATAGAGTTCTTCTTCTTCCTTAGAACCATCCTCGATTTTAGGTTTCTTGGACACGCAACCAGTTTCGAGTTTTATAGCCCTATTTTGAATAAAACAGTTAACTTTAAATTTATTTTTAATATTGTTATTAAGCATTGTAGCAAGATTAAATATGTTTATTAAGAGAAATGTAAAAAGCAACAAAGTCTAAGCGGTAGAAGTTATAGCAGCTATTTCGAGTATCACGAGGTTTAGACTTTGTTGCTTTTTCCATTTTTCCTAATAAACATAATCGTGGTACAAAGATCAATAACAACATTAAAAATAAAATGTTAATAAGCCACAATAACATATTTAAATTTATTTGTTACGAGTTACATACGGTAAAAGTTTTAAGACGTCAAGTTGGTCTTCCTTTTTAATGCTTTCGAATCCCGGAAGGCAATCTGCTTTATCAAACCAGCCAAGGTCGCTACGTAGCTGAGCGAAACACTCTGCATGATGCCACAATGCTTGACCTCCATACTTCATTCCAACTTCTGTGTCATATACGGTTTTTCGAACGCGTACTTGATCCTTTAAAATTTTTTGGTCGCAACCACGGCAGACTGCTCTACCGGACTTCGCGTACTCGATACCAAAATCTTTAGTTGCAATATTTTCTTTAGCGTTGCGCTTTTTTCCCTTTTTGGTAGAAGTTCCAGCTGATTCCGTGAAACCCTTCTCTGCAAAAAAAGAAAAATAAACAAATTAATAAAAAATATTTAGGTTAATCCGCTGAACGCCAAGGACAAAAAATGTTTCGTTTGGCGAAATAAGACCATTGCTAGAGCACTGATCACCTACAGGAAATCAGGACCTTTACGGAACTGGTTGCGGCACATATCGAAAATCTCATTGCAATGAGTACGACCAGCGATTGGGAGACATCGTTCCAGAAACACTAATTTTTATATGGACTTATTATCGTTGCGTCATTGGTTTTATCTATTTCAAATTTCAGCACTTGAACACGAATGCATATCTTGGTCTAATAAAAATAAGATTGAAAGCAAAATCATCACAGTCTAGCTGGACGAAGTTGGTCCGAAGAAGAATAGCTACGAACGGATATGGAATACGTGAAAACTGAGTACGAATTGAGAAACCCGTGAGTTGGAAACGAGCATCCTTACACAAACCTAGATGTAGATTGCTTATTTTCAATTAATTTCTTCATATCACATAGCTTATACCTAGAGCTGTAGCCAAATTTTTCGGTAATCGCATTAACCTAAACACGCAAACAACACCCCTTTTTAAAGAAGCGTTTTCGAGATTTTTTCGAACTTGTTAACTGTCAAATCAATTTCAAAGGCTATTTATCCAATTTACTTCAAATGTGGAAATAAAATTTATTATAGGAAATGTATATTTCATATTTAGTTTTTCTTCGCGATGTACATAACAAAAGAAACAATTAAGATAAAGTAATTTATAATAAATTCGTCTTGAAGGGCTGCAGCTAATTCAATACGCGCAAACATCAAAACCACTATTTGTGGGCTTACTCTTTAAAAATTTTGGCATAAATGTAGAATACCTACAATTCTCAAATTAAAAAAAATCATATTGGGATCGATGGAGATCATTGAGGTGAACGTAACGATATATATATTTTTTTTTGGAAACAACTACAACAATTATTAAAAGTCAAAGTTCAAATTAAGCATGTTTTTTAATTAATTTGATATACATATTTATACATATATCTTTTATAGTATTCACAAAAATATAATTAATGTGGAATTCTACTTTGTGAGGGTTATAATCCATAAGCGCGGCCGAAGGCCGCCTACGCAGAAAGGTGTTCTCTGCAAAAGGTGTTCAGTGCCTTTTCTTCGCAACACAGAAAAGAATTCTACTTTGTGAGGGTTATAATCCATAAGTGCGGCCGAAGGCCGCCTACGCAGAAAGGTGTTCTCTGCAAAAGGTGTTCAGCGCCTTTTCTTCGCAACACAGAAAGAGAATTCAACTTTGTGAGGGTTATAATCCATAAGCGGGGCCGAAGGCCGTCTACGCAGAAAGGTGTTCTCTGCAAAAGGTGTTCAGCGCCTTTTCTTCGCAACACAGAAAGAGAATTCTACTTTGTGAGGGTTATAATCCATAAGTGCGGCCGAAGGCCGCCTACGCAAAAGAAGTTTATACACAAAAACCCTGTATACTTTTTTTCCACATTAATTCGATTTTTGTGAAAACTATAAAAAGGTATATGTTAAGAATTAAATTCTCTATCAAAATTGTCCAATTCCTTGAAGAGGTTTTCGAGGAATATTAATTTAAGAAAATGCTTAATTTGAACTTTGACCTTTAATAATTGTTGTAGTTGTTGTTTCCCAAAATAAATAAATATACCGTTATGTTCACCTCAATGGTCTCTATCGATCCTATTTTTTTTTTTAATTCGAGATTTGTAGGTATTGTGCATTTGTTCCAAAATTTTTTTCTATTCATTGTTTTTTTTCAATTGATCTTAATTTTATTCTTAAAATTGGTGATTTAACTGCGCATTTTTATATCGTTTGACACTTGCCATCTTTCTTCAAATCAAATGTAAAATTTAACCCTCGTTTTAAATTTGAGAATCATTTGAGAAAGAGATTTAATATCAAATTGAGAAATACATTTTTCTCAAACGTTTGCTGGGTATCTTGTCTGGGTAGGTGTGAATCTTTTCTTCACTTACGACATGGCGTAGGTACTTTATTATCTTTCGGAAAAATTCGCATTTTTCGGGGTTGATCCGGAGATTTTCTTGCCTTCGCCGACCAAATACTTCGGTGAGATGTTGAATGTGTTCGTCCAGTGTGGAACTGGTGATGATAATGTCGTACAAGTATGCGAATGTGTGTGGCTCAAGTTCTGGGCCGATTACTTGGTCTAACGCGCGCTGGAACGTGGCTGGTGCGGAATGCAATCCGAACGGCATCACGCGCCACTGGAACAATCCGCGTCCGGGACCGGTGAATGCTGTGTAATTCTTGCTTTCTTCGTCCATAGGGATCTACCAGTAGCCGATTTTCAAATCTAGGCTGCTGATATATAAGCTGAGCTCGCCCCGACGAGCAGGCAGTCATCCGAACAAGATGATGAAAAACAACAAAAAACAAACAAACAACAAAAACAACAACAAAAAAGCACAGTACAACAAACGCAACAAATACTGCGGCAGCACAAACAGCTACCTCGGCGGTAGCAGCAGAAGCAGTAGACACGACGGTCACAGCAGTACCGACAAAAACAGGCTCACTAGCACTGACAGCAAAAACAGGCACTCATAGCAGTACCACGCGCAATGGGAACGACTCCAGGCGCGGCAGCTTCATGGAGCTCCTCACTGAAGAGGAGGCGGCGCTTTTCATCGAGCACGCCAGAGACGATGAGGAGGAACAGGGCACTAGCACCGGTCGCAATTCAGGTCAGAAAGTTGTCTTTCTTCTTTTTCCAGGCACCATAATATAGGGTTACCTGATTGCAGACACCGCCCCGAGAGCAGGCACCCCTCCGTTAGCCGGCACCGGTCTAAGAGCAGGAGCCAATCGAAGGGAAGGCACCATCACGGCAGCAAGCACCGCAAGGGATCGCTGGGAAGGCACCACAGGTCTTCCAGCAGTTCATCGGCCTCTGACGAAGCTAGGTGGCGGACCAAGAAGCAGCGTGTTGACGACCAACAGAGTTGAGTTGCTGTGCAACTTCGTTTCTTGGACCGCGGCTATCAATATGCCATGCGGACCCATAAAGACTACTATCTCCTCAATCTTGCTCTGGAGTCTGTTGCCGTTGAGTTGTAAGAGTTTCGTATGCCTTGGGAGGCTAGTCGCGATACGGGGGCAAGGGAGGAGTGAGGTCTACCTTGGGCCTGTTGCATCTGACGTGCTTGCTGTTGCTGCCTGTTGATAGGTGACTGCAATGGGAGCGGTGTTGTCTGCGTCAGCGGTGCTCTACAGCATGGGGCACTGTAGTTCGCAGTCCACTCGCGCGTGGTGCGTAGGCCAGAGCATAGACGGAAGTGACACCTGCCAAGGCATGTGCTGCATTTGACCGATGTCACGTTCCGGTATATTCGGCTCTGGCATACGGAGCAGATGGTGTGTGCAACCAGGAGCTGCTGGTTGGCTCGCACGCGCGAGTTGGACGGGCGGGTTGACTGTGGGAGGGGGTAGTTGGGAGGTTTGCTGCTGCCCAGGGGAGCTTCTAGCAGCCGTGCAGGCTCTTCGAGTGTTGGGTTCATTGCGCGAGAGGGTAGCCGTGGAAGCTGATTGTGCCGTTTGGCTTGAGTAGCAGGGAGCCACATAGCTTGTGGTCCACTCCCGGTGAGACCTAAGACCAGAGCATGTACTTAGGTGACTTCATCCGTTGCATGAGTTGCACCTAACCGAAGTGGAGTTCGGATGGAGTGGATTCTGGCAAACACAACAGAAATATGTTTCTGGTCCGGGGTTGTGCTCAACGCACCGTCGGGTAATATTAACAAAGAAGCAAAAAATATATGCAGTTCAATTCGAGCCGCTGCTCATTCGTCAATTCCACAAACCCATTTGAAATCATACAAAACGGTAGTCCCGTACTGGTCTGCATATCTTGCCTCAATTAGAGATAAAAAACAGCAATTGTGGCATAATTACAAAATACATAGATCCCTTTATAACCTTTTGGCATACAAGAAATCGAACGCCTATTTTAAAAAGAAACTAAAAGAAGTTGTTGTAATGAGTTCAATATAGTTAAAATGACTTTGCCTTTAATTCAATTTAAGGTTTACAAATTTTGGATGAAATAAACTATAATACATATTAAGTAAAAAATGCGTTGAGTAATTATGTCGCCTTCTTCGGTAAACCGCTCCAGCTCAACTTCTCTGTTTCTTTTCCTTTTTATTGCGCGCTTTTCTTGTGTCCCGTTTTACGCTCTACCTTTGCATTTTATTCTGTTGAGTCACAATACAAGGTAGGGTTGCTTTGAACCGCAGGTTTTTTATTGCTAGATTCAACATCCTGCCCGCGGATGACATTGTATGGCTGGATAATGTCATCAGGCATCCTCTTCATTGAACGAGTAGTAGCTACGGTAAAAGTGAAATATACAAATGACATTAGAGTGTTTGGGGTGTACTTATATCATGCCAGTTGTCCGCAATCGGGAGTAAACATATTTTTGCAACAGGACGTCTAATGATTCCAACAGACCAACAATACGTACCAATCCATCTGCGCCAGGGTGTGTTTTGATAATGCGTCCAAGTGGCCATAGATTGCACGGTACCCTTTCATCCTTGATCAAAACAATGTCATTAATTTGCACGTTAGGTTTTGTTTGCAACCATTTCGGACGCTTCTGTAGACGGGATAAATATTCCTTTCTCCACTGTCGCCAAAACTGCTGCACTAAAAATTGACAATTTTTCCATCTATCAGTAAGACTGAGCTTATCAATTTCTGGGGTTGGTGGGGCTAGTAGGGCGTCGCCTGTTAAGAAATGCCCTGGAGTTAAGACCATCAAGTCATCCGGGTCGTTGGTCAGCGGACACAATGGTCTAGAATTAAGGCACGCTTCAATCTGTGCTAAAACCGTACTAAGTTCCTCGAACGTTAACCTTCTTTCACCGAGAGAGCGCTTGAGATGATGCTTCATTGATTTAACCCCCGCCTCCCACAACCC